TTTCCCTGTTTTTCTTTCACTCTCAGCTTTTACTTTTGTTTGGATACTTTATTCGACTTTCAATTTTAGCACTTTATTCAAACGATAGACAAAAATGAAATGTTTAATACTACAAAATAAAAAGTAATGAGTGAGTGAGTGACTGAATAAAGGAGGCACCGAGGCAGGGAGAGGAAGGGAGAAGTGAATGGCAAGGATAAAGAAGTGGAGAAGGAAAAAAGAGGAAAAGACGAAATCGTTTGAAACAGTTGGTCGGTTGCAACGTGACGCTGCCAAACGACGTCGTAGTCATTGGCAATCATCGTGCCGTTTCCGTGTAGTGTGATAATGCCTGTGGTCATTATGAATCCGGACGAATCGCGATAAACAGTTGCTCAAAGAGAACGTAACTATCAAGATGTTTCGTGTCGCGATCGGTCTATCATCTGTAATGCTTGTGATAAACGCGATCCAATCGTCCTCGCGGCTCGGTGACACACTGTCTTCGCATGATTTCGCCATTGAATCCGCCGTGTATTCGACTGAAAAGACGGACAGTGCCGATAAAGTGTTTCGTCCTGATATCGAGGAGTCGAGAAACGTTTCTATGCAACCGGGTGTGGAGAACACAAACAAATCGACTGAAAAAATACGTCTCCCTTTGTGTTGTCCCTATGCAAGTCGTTTGACAAACAACCAATGCGTCGAAACAAACGATACTTACCATTTCCCGCCCCTTTATGATTCCAATAGTTTAACCTTAATCGACGACGTACCGGATCACACGAACTATTTTCATTTCAATGTTCAGGATCCCTGTGACAGTTTAAATGCTCCACGCTACAAACTTATACCGAACATTTATCCGGACGATGCATTCAAGTTTCTAAATAATGGTTCGATTTATATGAAAGAAAAGAACAGTATCATTCCGGAGTCCGATTATTGTTTTGGCATTAGTGACACTGACATGTTCGACGTGTTCCTTTGCTTCAATTCAGATGCACAGCCAGAGGATCCAATAATGTTTCCCATCGGATTGTTTGTGTCAGTTCCATTCCTGTTTGCCACATTTATCGTCTACGTACTGATACCAGAATTGAAGAACATGCACGGTCGTACGCTTCGTGGATACATCGCTTCTTTGTTGATCGCCTATGTGATACTTGCGATCGTACAAATCTCTCCGCAGAACCAAATTTCAGATCCCTTCTGCATTGCATTTGGTACTTGTCGTATATATTTTAATAGATTTGCTCTGATCCTGACTTATGCCCCACTACTTATTTGTTTTGCCCTACCTTAAGTATATATACATACTTTGTGATATTTGCAACAAGGGCGTATACGATGTCTTATTTAAACTTGGCGTGCAGTTGTTCCATCGCTAATTCATCTGTCCCTTAGCGTTAACATTTTTATTCACACACATATTATATGTATTTATTCGCATCTCTTCATCTTTTCATGAATCTTAGTGTATGACCATTATATTATATTATATAATATAAACGCATTGTATCGTTCAAACATTATAATAATAGAAACATTATGCCTGTAGGCTTTTTTGAAATTTGTCACGCGTGTTCACTTTGTTTAGACTCGTTTTGGTTCATTTCGCTTTGAGAATTTATTACATTATATACACTCTATTACCAATGATATTTTACAAAGATTTAAATGAACGTGTTTAAATCATTGATCAAATCATTGATCACTTACCTCGGATTTTGTTTCAGCGTTCATCATCCATTTCTCTTTCTTGGCTAGCTTCTTCTGGTTGAACGTTATGTGTTTCGACATTTGGTGGACGTTTGGGTAAGTTGAAATTTCTTCCATTACCCGATTTAGTTGATTGTCCATTGATTCGCAGTCTTTTCATCACTCATAAATTCTTTTTAATCGAATTTGTTTTCTTCGTCGGTGTTTCGTTCTTCTTGCGTCTTAAATTCGCATGGTCGATCGTCGAATCTAAGTATGCCGAGTTAAAATGTAATTTTACTACTGACAATGAGATACTTATGTATATACGTATATATTATGTCATTCTAATCGTTGGAACTTTATTACAATCGATGGTATATACATATATCGCATGGAATGAATATGAGTACTATTTAAGTACTTACCTATTACTTTTCTATCTAAAGCAATTTGATAGTTGACTAACGTCGCTTCGAGGGAAATTGATAGCGATATAACGCGAATTAATATCCGGCTTGTGACGGCAAGTGTATACTTTGCAAACATTCTTAAATTAAATTCGATTGAACAACAAAGCAAACGGTTACTCTCACTTAAAGTACTTTTACCCCATAAATGTCTCCTTTGTAATATATTTTGACTCCTTTCATGATATTTACATCCATTCACCACACACACACACGCGCGCGCGAGCGTCTATAACGATAATAACGTTTCTTTTGTCAATTTCGATTGATCCAATCGACTCTGGCAATATAGACTCTGTTCCTTTGAATTTATTAATAACCAATCAAAGCTTTCCATCGAATAATCGCATTCATATAATTATGATCAATTGGAAATACAGGAATATGAATTCTATATATTTTTGTATATATTTTCGTCTTTCTATGGAATACCATGGAACAACGATAAATGTACAATCGATCACATTTCGAAAATCGATAGTATCTCTACCGAGTTGAATTCTTATAAAAGTATGAGTTCCACTTAGGTGTTTGTAAAGCACCAGGTGTATAGCAAACAAATCGTGACGTATCCTCCAAACAAACCTCGAAAGCTGAGAATCGGTCTTCTCCTCAGCATTGACGCTGACGCCGCAATGACGCCCCACCGACGCCAAACCGACGCCATACCGACGCCACATTCAATATACGTTCCGTCGTTGATCCCAACAATTTCCATGTGCCAATAAGTTTCTGAAATAAGGAAAAAGGAAAAATGAGAAAAGAAAGACAAAGGAGAAAAAAAGGAAAGAAAAGAAGAAAACGAAATTAGCAAAATTATAACAATTTACGTGGAATAAATTACAACGTTAAAAATAATGAGATTAATCATTGATTTATAGTTGATCTATAGATACTTTAAATCAAGGTCTACTTCGTTAATTGTTATGCGATACGGACTATTTCAATTTTTCTCGCTGTGAAAATTGTTCCGTTGATCAGCATCGCTCTAGACTCGTTATATCTATTGTCTCTCCAAGTTTCAATTATTTGTCGAATTCTATTGGCTTTTTCAAAGAAATCGCACATCATATAGTTAGGTATGCCGGTATTTTTAAACGTTCCACGAATAGAATAATATTTCAAGAAGAGGATTGCGTGACGAGAATTGTCGCACCCGAAAATTTTCACTATCAAACATAATATTATTCGTATATGTGTAATCGTTAATACAACGAGTGATTGTCCGAGACGCACGTGTTCAGCCTTTTCGCCAAGCCCTTTTTACCATATGTACGTGCGCATGCAAGAGTATGATCGTGTATACATTCCGCCTACGCGATCCTCACCTGTTCGACGCCCTTGATCCGACATACATACATACATGTACAGATACTAACCATTAATCACAAATTACTACCGCACCTACTCGTACTTACGATATATCATAATACTCATTTTTCATATACCTTTGCTTTTTATATGTGTATATTTACATACATATAAACACTCGTCTAAGCAGTCATGATTTTCACCTGATAAAATCAATTCACGAACGATACGATCGAGCTTCTTTATTAGTTGCGATAAAACTTAGAATCGATCAAATAAAATGTAGCGAAACAAGACAGAAATAGAAATTGAAATAAAAATTCATGATTCAGCTAATAGATCGAAAGAGAGATAAAGAATATTGTGAAAAAGAACAATGCACTTGATATAACGGCCATATTCTTAGCGAACTTTGATAGGTTTAAATCTTACTTTCGCAAGATGCGATAGGCAGGAAATATGAAATGCGTCATCTAAAACCACAAATCCAGCGTATCGTGTAGAGAGAGTATATTTTGTGACTAATGAAAGGAAAAAATTCACCTAAAACCGTGTATCAACTTGTACTTTTATGCCTCTTTTGCTATTTTTATTTCTTATTTTCACATTTTTACTATTAAGAAACTAATTTTCCTTATTAACTTCTGATTTTCAGGGGGTTTCGATCCCTACAGGGCAGTATGAAACAAAGAGAACGAAAAAAATTTGTTATATATTCGATTTATGCTTGGGGCTGCGCGTCAATTCTCACCGGAATTTGTATCATCATGGATTTTCTTTCTGACATTCCAGAATATTTTATCAAGCCGGAATTTGGAAAACAAAATTGCTGGTTTGCGAGTAAGTTCTTGTTAAAAAGGCATATTTTTCTGTCAAAAATAAGCTTTAAACATTAATGAAGTATCATTAATTAATATTTCATAATACCGTACTTGCAATCATAATGAATATTATTATAGCTAATAAAGCAAAAGCAATATATTTTTACGGCCCTATGGGAGTCACCGTTTTTTGTAACATATGTCTTTTCGTCTCCACGGCGTTCAAGATCGTGCAACATAAAAAGAATACGGCACAACATCTCAGGGGAATAGATAGTAGGCGCCACGACGACAATAAACAATGGTTCGTTCTCTTTTTATCCATGTAGGTGACGAGATAAACAAACTTAATCGGAATTCGAAACAATTAAAAATTATTCAGTCACGAGACTTCGCCTTATATTGATCAATATACATATATTCCGTTCATTTTCTTTTTTTTTATTTTTATTATATTTTACTTCGATATTATTACCCTTACTACACGTTTATGACGATAAAATTATTTTTGGATCTTCTCTTGGAACGTGCAGAACAAAGATTTTCCCATGGTATGATTTGTTTTCGTAATGACGGAAGAGGCGGGTCCCTCTCACGTAACAAATACATCCGTCCGAGGAGAGTCTTGTTCGCGATCGCACGTTTCATCTTTCAGCGTAGGTCGTTTACATTTATCTACATATGTATTTACTTGTATATATACCATTCATACGCCTCCTCTCTAGTATTTATAAAATTTCGAATGTTACTTAAGAAGACTTGTTCCTATGTGGTTTTACGATACACATCTTTATATATGTACATATACTACATAAATAGTTGAATTTTCTATTTGATCATTTCTCAATTTTAATCTATTTTATTCGCAGGTTCAATCTGTACTTAAAACTGTTTATCGTGATGGGTATTAACTGGTCAATGGAAATAATATCGTGGCTCTGCAACAATTCACCGGCATATATTTGGTATCTTACAGATCTGACGAATACTTTACAAGGTGTAATTATTTTCTTTATTTTCGTTTGGAAGGATAAAGTCAAACGACTACTGTTAAAAAGATTCGGTTGTCACAAAAGCAACGTCCTTTCGAGAAATTCAACTCGTAGTGCTTATCTTAGTTCAGCGGCCTCTCGTACATGTACATCGACAACACCATTCCAGGAGAAGATCATCTCCTATTCGAACGAACCTTCTTGCACCAAAGCAACCGTTGATAATTAAGCAGAATAAAGATTACGTGAACATTACCAATTTCAGTGTTTGCGCTATTTATAAAATATCATTTATACGACTTGTTCATAATTTCGTTTATTGGTCTTAATTCACGTCTTTTTTTGCATTAACGCGATGCACAGAAAATGCGACAGAAATAATAAGACGGGTTGAACCGGATTGAAATGAAATAAAATTACACAAAATGAAACTAAAGGAAATACAAAACAAAAATAAAGCGAAATAAAAAAAAAAGAGAAGTGGAAAAAAATGTCATTTCTTTGCTACAATGTGCTACATTCAGTTTAAAATTTTAAGGGTGGATTTCACCGAAGCATATCTAGTCATCATTAATGGACTACTTTCCTAACGTTCAACGTTGCTACTACACGATCGTTTATGTTTACATTTAAAACATTTAAGCTTTATTTTATATCGTATAAAAATAAGTAATAACCAGTAATATAAATACAAATCTTTACAAATTTTCCAGTTTGATATCACCGACTTTAAAATAATATACGAATAAATTATCCATAAGCTCTAATATTAAGAATTTTATTCAATATTTGATGTCACAAAAATTACCAGAAACTCCCTTAGAATTACAAAAAAATAAAAGTAATAAAACCGTTTTCTTATGTGTATTAAAATGTATATTATTTGCCATTTTTATCAAGTCAAATATGAGAAAATTTTGTACATTTTTCTTATATACACATCTAATAAAACTCACATCATACATATATTTTATTCTAAAGCGGTATTAAAGTACAGTACAAAATAATTAACATCTAAAGTAATACTATACTGAATTAAACGTAAAAAGGAAAACATAATAAAAATTTGCAACTTCGTTATAAATTGCGTTATTTGTATCAAACGTGTTAACATTATCACTGCAAGCATAAAGAAAAAGAATAGTACAATAATGAAAATATCCATTCTTTATTTCTCGATCCCTTTTGTTTTTTTTATTATTCATTTATGCAAACACATCTTCTCTATCAGCTCCGACACCCTCCCCATCCTCTAAACTCGAAAAATTCAAAAAGTGGGCAGGTCTGTGAATCTCGTGATAGAATTCCTTCGGATTTGCCAATTGCAGTTCATATTTCATGTTCGGATCATGTCTCACACCTAAGAATGGAAACAAAAAATAATGATTATATTGTAGCAATGTTCAGCTATCAATAAACGGGAGTCAAGTCAAATTCCTATGTATATCTTACCCATAAAGTTATAGTTCCAAGATCCTTGACTTGGAACCATGAAAAAGCCAAGAAAACGATCGGACAACAACATCTGTACCTTTTCATAATGACTTGGTAAATAACCTTTAGGATTATTTCCCTTGTCGGTATTTTGCTTTCCCCATTCGAACCCGCTATAAAACCAATACAGCGTTTGTTAATGACGAGAAAAACAATAGTTGTGATAAATAACATCTCTCTGAACACGAAATACGAACCTAGGTGTTAATTTATATGCCGTAAGAGAACAAGATCCTGGTGTAAAACTGCAAGTGATAACAATAGTTTTTTCTCCATCCCAAATTGGATTTTCCGCCATTATTCGAGCATGTGTAGATATATCCTAATAAAATAATATCGCGTTGAAGTATAATGCATAATTAAATGAAGAATAGCTGTAAATAAAATTAAATCGGCAAATATGTATCTGATGATTTAATATGAACCTGCGGTGACAACTGTGGTAGCTCGTTAGGTTGAGTATGAATCCAACCAAGAGGCTCCATCTCTTTGAGATACTGATGATTCGGAAGTGTGTTAGGTAAGTGAACCGTTTGATGGGTACCCCACTGTGGAGCCATAACTATACATCGTATTTCTTTGACTTGTGGATTATCCGGTGGACTAATTCCGTATAAATATCCTGCGATCTATACAAGTAATAAAGAAAATAAAAAAAAAAAAATAAAAAAATAGGTTGATTATAATATCTTATTCGTAATTTTAGCGAAATCCTATACGTATGTATTTATTTTTATAAAAACAAGTATCTTATAAAATAAACATACCTGCGCTCGCAGATCTGAAATAGTAACGAATTTCTTAAGAACGTTCTTCGGTAATATATAAGTGTAACCCGTTTCCTTGATATCATCAGACGATACATATATGTGATTAGTTCGAAGATGTAAATTAGTAGCAGAAATTGCTCGTACTCGCCACTCAGTTTTCGAGCTAAACGTTTGTGTTTCATAATTGGAAGTTGTTGCTGTAATAATTTCGTCTCCATGTTTGTTTACTGTTCGTGTGGTTGTTGCTGTAAGCTGTGACTGTTCTTTCGTTTGTTTTTCTATTTCAGCAATTTGTTGACGTTGCGCAGATGGGGCACTAATTTCCATACCCAAAATGATATCTCGAATTTCTGATTGAGTTAGTGACGCTACGTTCACACTAAGTAGAATAACAAAAATGTTATGCTATTTGCTTGGTAATTATGCGTTATACATATTGCTATAAGGAATGAAAATAATAATTATTGTACGTACTTGTTTTTTTTACCATAGTCGGCTAAAATAAGATCTTTTAATTGTACTTCAACCTTAATCCATTCATCGTCTGTTAAGGAAGGCCATATATGATGTGGTTCTGTTATGGTTGTTTTATCAGGTTTTAGAACAACTTTTGTTCTTTCAGTGTTAACATGTAACGCACGAAGTATAAGGATTAAACGGGAGAACGCCTATAAAAAAAGATAAATAAAAATCAAAACAAAGGAAAAATAACCAAATCAGACAAAAGGGGGAAAATAAAAATAATTACCGTATAGGACGAAATAGTTTTTAACCAATCATCATATAAGTTGAATAACACCATTTGCGGTTCTGTTGCCTTTAATATTAAATCACCAAACTTTTCAACTTTTAAACACGCCTGAAATGGTAATTGAAGTTCCGATCCTTTAATAACAATGTTGGGAAAATCAAGTAAATGCACTTCCAAGGGATCCAACATTCCCTTTCTGGTTACTATAATTTGCTTAGGTTGTTCTTCAACTGGTAAAGATCGAATAAGCGCAGCTACTTCTTCAGCAGTTTTCCATTTTGCTAACTATTACGTAGGAATATAATATTAATTATGATGTGAAAATTTATTACATTAACTATTTATCAATTATAACAAATGGCTGAGTTAAATTCATTTTACGTACCTGACCTAAACGCTTTTGACCAGCCCAAACTGAAGTATGAATAATTTTCAAAAACAATTGTCCTGTCCGAGGATTAAAAATAAAGATCGCTCCATTTATAGGCTTCGTAGTTAAATTACCTTCGAATGTTTTATGAATTGTAACACGATAAACATTCGTATCATCGACAAACCTAATAAATTAGATTAATATAAAATTCCATTATAAATGCATATTTACGTCTTACATAAATAAAGATATGGTAAAAAACAAGAAATGAAAATACCATATGATTTGATTTGAAAAGAGTTCACCATAATTTTGTGAGGATAGGTATGGTTCTGTGGGTTCCGATGAATAAAGTTGTAATGCTTTTCGTATACGTTCCCGTAATACGTATAAAGCAGGATTAGCTTTCATTATCTTTGCCATTGCTTGCTGTATAAGAGGCTTACATCCTGGGAACCAGTTACCATATGCGCTAATAAACAAAGTTGATTAGTTCACGAAGTATCTATACTACACATTTTTATTCACGGATATTGACCGATTACGATTAGATTTTGATCGAAGGGAAATAATTTTTCCTCTTTCAAATTCAACACATTGAAATAAGAGCAATGCATTTCGATACTACCTTTAAAATACTAATTGAAAAATAATTAATTGGTAAAGCCAAGCAATACAATAAGCATTACCTGTCAATAGCCGTGGACGATAAATTTCTGTAAACTCCAATTTAGTTAATAGAAATAACATTTAAACATTATATACCTATGTAAATTATAAGCCAAATCAATAGCAATTAATAATCCTGTTGGTGATGGATAAATAGACATATTGTCCGTTGTATAATCTAAGAATTTAGCCCTAGCATATCGTTCAATATCGTGAGAATCATAATCTCCCCATCTAAGTTGCACATCTATCCAATATTTTTGTGTGGTAGTATTATCCATGAGATCCCTATTCAAAGAACGAATCATTAATAACAGAACATAACTTTAAATTGAACAATAGATAAGAGATGAAGCAAGTCGAAAGAAGAATAAAGAAAATGAAATGACTACTTGCTTTGAATCGGCAAGTAACGACGGTCTAGAAACATTCCACTTATAAGCAGAGAAAAGCAATATATCAGCACAAGAAGAGTTCATTTTGTATGACTTCCTAGGATGGATGGTCTCCTTTTGAACAGTTTCGATTTCTAGCGCATCCAGTTCCTGGTCAAAAACTTGACAGAGGTCCATCACAATCGATTCATGTACTTTTTGCCACAAATGCGCACGAAATATTTGAATTAATGAAATCTTAAGTGTAGGAATTTTACCATGCATAAATATTCCTGTTAAATCCAATTGTACCTAATAATAAACAAACAAGCAATATATTTTATGAATATATTTCAACTTAAAAAACAATAACAGTTACGATCAATTAGCATGATGTAATAGTAAACTTCACCTGAAAACCAACGTAAACATTTGCTCTATTAATAGTCGGTGACCACCATAAAGTAAATCGACGATTTGGAATCTGATTCAAACCAGATCTTTGAGCGTTAGTTAACTTTTTATATTTCATAGATTCTTCGAATCCAGATGCTTTTTCCCTAAGCAAAAGCGACAAGTAACAAATTAGCTTTTTAATTCTCTTACCGACTTTAAAGTTTTCATTACGATTTTAAAAAATTAAAAAATTTTACCAAAATAGACCTTCCCAGGTTGGAAAATACGTTCCTTTAAAAAGTGTATGTTCTAAAATACCCTCTACACCACCGAGAGCCTGTATCATATCTGTTCGGTAATTATTTAAATTCCACAATTTACCATCATGACGTTGATGGGTCCACCAAAACGGATTTTGTTTCAAAACCTAAGATTATATGCACAAGATATACTTTCATTAGAGACAGATAGCACAATGGAATACGTTAATAAATTAATACCTGATACTGTTTAAATTCTGTACGTATCCTCCAACCCTTATCATAGGCGAGAGTATGTCTGTCTTTCTGAAATAATGTATTTATTCTAGGAATACCACGGTCCCAACTATCTTCAAGATCTTCCAAAGTGAGCCTACGATTTTGTGCATTGGCTTCTTGCCGTTTTAATGCATATTCCGCCCAAACTCTTTGCGAATCTATAAACTCGGACTCCCAAGGTTGGATGTAACGATATAAATTTGGAATTAACTGATCTTCATCATGACTCATGCCCGAACGAAAATGAGTGATACCAACATCAGTTTGTTTCGACCACCTTAAATCCGACTATAACAGTTTGCAATTATATTTGCATCATGTATTCGACGATATCGAAAGAACTATCTAATATCCTGGAAAACAATAGCCTACCTGAGGTATAAGTACATGTCCCATGGAAAGCATTCCAAGACCACCCAGTTCCTTTGGCGTATAAAACACTACCGGTGGAAATCGCGAAGGCATTTTTGAATTAAGACCAATCTTAATACGCGTTTGAATTTTATTTTCACATTTCACTAACAGATCCAAAAGCTCTTGTGTGTTTACCACGGCTTCACGGAAATAAGTCATAAGCCCAATTAACGCTGTATTCCATTTATTAACGATCTTTGTAAACGTTGTGGATCCAGAAGCCATAAGAATTTGTCTAACTCTGTTATGAAATCGTTGCAAACTTTCATCATCAACTCTCAAGAAACATTGAGCCGTCCTTTCTTTTGTAATTTCATTCTGCAAGTTCCACACACCATCTCTATGTGTAAACTCTTCATGAGTAGTTCTACATTTTGGTAAAATCCTACACTCAAAGCCACTCATGTTAAATAATAAATTGGGATTATCTTTACTATATACGCTAACGAAACTATTTTCCCACTGTATCGTAGTTGTGGATCGAGGTAAACGATTCTTAATATCCCAAAATACAGCACGACCTCTGTAAGTATAAAGGGGAAAATTAATAGATAAATTAAATTAAAAATAAATGTAAAAGTCTAGTCCAAGATTGATCAATAAATGAAATAACAAAAAGAACCTAATAATTATTTCATCATTATTTACTTACAAATTAACATCATGCTTCATAAGACGCATTCGCGCATCTCGAGGCCAACATTTTTTATTATTATAACCAACGATATTTTCATTATTAGGATCTGGATGTTCTGTTAAATATCTCTGAATTAGATCTCTTGCTTCATCAGCAGAAAATCTATCAATATAAAATACAAAATTAAATAGCAACTAACAAATTAATATTATTCATGCATTATTAATATACATAATAGTTCTTAAAACAACAAAACGTAAAGTTTTACCTTAAAAATAAATGTATTCTGTCTACATATCTACAGTATAACCTAATAGGATGCGCTGTTTCTGAAGCGACGTCTTGGAAAGTTAAAAAGTCGTTTGGCATTTGAGGAGGTCCAGCCATTTCGCTAGCTCTTTGCAATCCAAGAACTAGCAAATCCAATACCAGACCGTAATATTGCGCTATAAATGACGCAAATTGTAATCCTCTAATTATTCCATAACTGTTTGTATGATTCATATCCTAAATAATCATATTTCATATTTATCTTTAGTTATTTAAAGATCATGCATGTCTCTTAATAAAATAAAGAAGAAAATACCTTATAATTTATAACAACATTATTTTTTGCAGTCATATAGTCAGCTATGTTATGATCAACAATTAATCGCAGCAGTCTATTTAATAATGTCAAATCTATTTTTTCATACAATTTTTCAAACTTTGATTCCAGCAACACATTACATTCTCCTTCACTAACATCCCAAACATCTTGTAGATTATTAATGCCCTGACACCATTTATATACCAATAAAGGGGGTGGTTCTGTATCTGAAGGTTTAACCCATGGAGGGAACAATCTTCGTTTGTCGGCTTCATACCACAAATATTGATCTAAATAAGCATCCGTAATTTTTTCAAGTGGCTCTACATCATATACAGGAATCAGATGACTATAAAGATCCATGAATTCTATTCCCACCTATGAGAGAAATACATAGAAGTTTCATCAAAATGAATACAGAACGTAGAAATTATGACAGACAAACAATTCATAAAATTCTACCTCTTTGAATGCTCTTTGAGTTAGAAGATGACGTTTGATTCTAGACAGTGCTTCATGTGGATTGTCATACGCCTGTTCAATTAAACCAAGTTCTTCCCTTTGACTTTGATTTAACCTTGATTTAACACTGTATGCTTCCTTTAAGCGTTCCAAAGCTAATATCAGAAGTTTGGTATCATGTTTATAAGACAGTGGTGGAAAAGGTATAGGAGCAAATCTTCTTGATTCTAACCAATGCACAGTTGTAGTATATATAGCTACTGCTTCCTCTGGAGAAATATATGGACCATCCTATTTATACAACATGGCAAAAATTTATAAATTAATAAGATAATACTACACGTACATGCGTTCGTAAGATCTATATATTAATGACAATATATTAATTTATGCATATAATTTCATATTAGTTTATGCATATATTAATAACAAATTTTAGTATTTTATTAATATCGACACCAATTTGTTCATTCATTTTAAAAATTGATCATTTTAACATTATACACTGCACCTTTAAATAATTATGTTGCCGTTCTTGTTCAGCTTTAAGATAGAGTCGCGTAAGACGTCCTAGATTTTTCTTGCAAACAGTTTTATCCACGGTCGCCCCACGCCTAATACGTTCTCGATTATAATGCGCGGTATTGGTCCACCAATCAGCCTTCATTTTAACGTATCGAAGAATCATATTTTCGATTGGTATTGGTAATCCAGGAACCTATAAAAAATATTAGTGAAAATTTTTAATGAAAATTATTATCAATAAATAGAGAAATTAAAAAATAATTGTGATAGACAAACCTTCCACGGAATATTAGCCTTCCAACACCTCCATGCTTCACTAAGATGTTGAAGTATAGTTCGAGCTTTATTTTGTTTAATTCCTTCTGGCATCATATCTACAATATCATGCATGACAGATGCTCTTAATTCAAGATCGAAATGTGACTCTACTCGTTGTTTTGTTACAGTTTTCGCAACCCCTTTCGAATGACGACCTTCAAATTGTCTAGATAACAGATTCCCTAACCATCGTTCCAATAATGGAGTAATTCCTCTCATAAAGAAAAGCCATACTCTCCAACCAGGTGCCCAAAATCCACAACCAGGACCTTTCCCAACAGGACCCTAACCATTCATATGTCAAAAATAACCAATTATTTTTTGTTTTGTATTTAAATAATATTAAAAATAGCAAATAATTTAATATTCGTACCGTGTTGAAGCGATAATAAATCAAATGCTTTAAGTCTTTGCACATTCTGATTTGCCGCATTAATTTATATTTATATCGATACATTCCAGTTAATTGCCCAACATGTGCAAAAATATATTGCAATCCGTCCGCAAGTTGAAATGCGTCAACATTATTCAAACGATATTGTACGTGAGAATCAATAATCAATTTTGTTAAACGCAGTATCTCACGACACAAATGGAAAGCTAAGAAAATAAAATTTTCTTCAAAATTTTATATCGTAACTCATAAAACATGTACATGTTTTTACTCACCATTTCCAAATCTAGATTTTTTTCTCTCTTTCGTTGTGAGAGTTTTTACCGGTTTTAGATTAAAATTGTAATCCAAATGTAGATAATTTAAATTTTTTCTATGAATGAGTAAATTTAACATGTTATATCCCTGTCTACAGACTTGTAGACCAGCTTCGACCCAATCTATTGTAGTGGTTTGGAAAAATTTGGTTGATTTGAATGATCGGAATAAATAACGTTTTTTCTGTGGTTTAGGATGCCTATGCTTCAATGCATTCAACACAAAATATTTCAACAGCTTTTGATAACTAACTCGAACCTTAACAGGTTGCCCCGGTGGACAATGTTCTCTATACCAAGATTTCACTAAAGGTATATCAATGGCTCTTCTTGTTCTGCCAGAACGTGTATTAAATGGCCTTGGTGCCCATAATAAAGCTATCCCATTTGCTGTATTATCAGTGTATAATGGAGTTTCCTGAAGAAAAGGTTGTACTTCTTCAGGAAGCACAAAATCTTCGTCATCCTCAATTTGTGGCTCTACAGTCTAAAAGAAGAAAAAGAAAAAAGAACATATAATTCATATACATTCTTGGTACAATTTTCAATATGTTTCAATTAGCTATACACTACATATCAAAATATTTTATAACCTTCAGTGAATTTCTGTGAGAAATAGGATTAATCAAAGGATCAAAATAAAATGCAGGCAAATCAGGATCTTCAGTTTTTATATAAACAACATTTGGTGCATGATACCTGCAAATCATTTAAAATTTTCATTAGAAAATAGTATCAATTTGAATTATGAAATTATATATCATCAATTTAAATTGCTTTTAATTCTAGATTTCAATTATTATACAAAAAGTGTAGGTGATTTCAGCAGTTGCCCTTTATTCTTTACAAAGGATACAAATAACAATCACCATTTTATTTCTTTACCACACTGCTAGTAAGACTTTAACATACTAAGTATAAACCAGCCTCGAAACTTGTGTGGAAATATTTATTGTATCTCATATTTATAATAAATAATATTGTTACGTACCAAGATAAATGTACAAAATGTGGCATATTATTGTACAAATAAGGAAATGCGATACGATATTCTGTTCTTATAGGCTGCCGTATGATAATTTTATTAATATCATTAAACTCGTTCCAATCTTCATCTGCAGCATTTGCATCTTTTACCAATGGTTCAAACTTTGGACCACCTGGTATAGCCATATTTAATGCCTTTGCGGTAAAAAATGACTTTGGATCAAAAAGGTAAAAGAAATTTTGATCAACCAAGTCTGTTAATAACTGATTAGCCAAACGATACAAAGTAGCCATCTGCGGTAAAGTTAAATTCCATCTTCGGTAAGTAGATCCATTTACATGCCTGTAACATTATTAGCAATTAAATATACTTTTGGTAAATAATATTTATATAGTAAAATACAAAGTGACAATTCAGTATAGCGTTTTGTCCAGCTAATAATAATCCATAGTACTCATCTCGAATAAGACTGCGGAATTACTATAGCCATCAACTCACATGTTAGTTGATCTCAGGACCCCTACGCGATTCATCATAAAGTAGTGTGATGTAATAAAATGTTCATAATTAGTAAAAATAATATTTAACTCTTACTTTGTGCCAACAAGTGGTTTGTGTTCATAAAACCACGACGCCACAGATTCATCTTCCTCTGAATCCAACTCAATTTGAATAGCCTCCAATGGTTCTACATCCAAAACATTGTCCGCGTAATCTAATGGAGGTTCTTCATCGTCAAATGGTGGAAATCTCATTCTCTTAAAATGTCTACGATCTCGTTTCTCTCTTCGCATCATTATCCACATTGTACTATAGAATAAGAAAGAAGGGTGTAAGTATATGTCCACATACAGACATATTTGCATGCATTCACATTCACTCACTCATTTATTTGTTACTGATGAATGGTAGACAAATGTGAATGAATAGAACATTCTTTTTAGCTTACCCCCATTGAGCAATATATACAGGTTCAATAACCCAAGGGATTTCATTTACAAATGTAATTGCACCTGTGATGTGATAAAGAACTTTTACATCTCGAATTTGTTCCCAGGGCATTGGCATGTTTTCTAGAAGTTTCATAACTGCATGAGGCATATATTTTAATGCTCTGAAATAAAATAAATAAAAAAAATTTAATTTCTTTCCAAATTTATTCTTTTTACTAGTAATTGCTAAAAGTATGAAAAACATCCAAACTCTAATATGCACATTAGTTTACCCCAAATAAACACGTTTATCGTGTCTATATTTTCGACTGCTCATATCTCCATGATCTCTAATAATTTTTCTTATATGTTCAGGAGGCATATCTTCCTTTTGAGCATCTACAAATCCAAATTTTCTTTTTTCTGCAAATCTTTTTGACTGAAGTTGTTGCCATTTTTGAGCTAAAATTATATAAATAATATAGGAAAATAAACTACTTTTAGTTTCAAATAAACATTGTACCACAGATTTTTCTTTTTATCACTAATTTGTTTGAAGTAATACATTTAAAGTTGTCTTTGGAAGTTTAGAAAATATTTATTCTTGAATACCTTTTTCTTGAAGTTTGTCCTCGGACAAAACTTCAGGTTGTTTTGGCATTTGTGGCAATGGTGGTCCTGTTATTGTTTGCATATGAGCATGATGTGCAGCTTGTGCATGTGCAGCTGCTTGTGCATGAGCTTGAGCTGCAGCTAATTGAGCATGAGCTTGTTGAGCTATCATAGTAGCCCATGGATTTGGACCCAATAAATATGGTGGAATCGACATTTTTCCACGTTATATAACTAAATTTAAAGAATAACAAAATCACTGAATGATATCATATTTTAAGTATTTTAATATAATGTTTATATTTAGCTACGTTAAATTTATATTTAAATAAAATTATTATAATACAACAAAATGCACAATTTTTTAAATAATAAATTTTGTTAATATGATATTTTCTTAATTCCTATTTTTTTATTTATTTCCTATTTCCAATTTATATACAGGAAAAATAGACAAAGGCATTTCAATTTGCAAATAATATTGATAAAATTTTCTTACATTTCATAATTAATTTTAAAGAACATTTAAAATAAAATGTATCATGGATATGATAACGTTGGTTATCGTTATGCCGCGTGAAATGTTAAATAAGTACAGATGATTAGAAATTTGATTCAAATAATATTCTATTTTTTACTTAGAATAAATATCAACTTCTATTGTATAATTTAATAGTACCTTATTCTAAATAATGATAAATTGTTAACTTACATTGACTTTATATGGAATCAAACATAACCATCATGTTAACGGACCAAAACTTTCAGCATAGATAAAGGTGAAAATGTGAAAGGCAAGAACCTATGGGAAAAAGTGATGTTACTAATAGTCTAAATCACGTTATACAGTAATAATTTTAAAATAAAAAAAAATTGAAATTATTAAGCTTTGCGCTATAATATCCAATTAAGGAGAACAATTCAACGTTGTTATACCTATTATAATTTCGATCACATTATAGATGGCGTAATAATAACTTTCTTATTTTTTATGTATCAAAAATATATTAATTATTAAGAAATATAGTTCAGTTCAGAGAAATAAAGAAAATTTTATATAAGATAATCCTATAAAATTTAAAAGAATTAAATTGAAGTTTATAAATATTTGTAAATATTATATTGTATACAATATATTACTAAAAACATAGAATTATGTATGATTTTATAGAAAAGAAATAAAACTAACGTTCCCTAAGTTTATAAGATTATGGAGAAATATGTATTTTTTTATACTTTTGAATGGAACAAAATATTCAGAATATTATATATTCCATGCTAGATTGAGGTTGCTATTCACGTTCGATTATGGTTTGTGTCCGGAGTACTTGAATCGTTTCATGTTTCTGTTTCAAAATTACTCATATTTTTTTCTAATTATTTTATTATAAAAAAAAGAAAAGTAAAGTGAGTAATCCTCATGATACGATATATAATTTTATATATACTCTGTAATTCATGTTTGTAGGTAGTTTCATTATTCACCGCAAAATCAGTGTGGAACTCGCAAATAAAGAGTACAACATACCATCGCATTTACGCATATACGTAGGTATCTACGTTTTTCGAACGCATTACGATCAATTAAAGTTATTGACAAGAAAAATTTTTAAATGTGATTACGCTGTGAAAAGAATGGCAGGAGTATTTGATATAGAATTACACGACGGAGATTCTATAAATCAAGACGAGTCGGACGATGACATCGTTGAAAATAAAGAAGTTCGTTTCTTGTCAAACTTAATGGATTTTGAATCATTGTATTTGGTCTCTCATGTATTTCGTTTTTTCTAGGATGAATATAATGATACTATAAATGTAAACACTATATTAGAGTAAGTATTTGAGTCTTTGGAAGTATATGATTATTGGTTTTATTTTTAAATCATATTTATTAGATAATGATATTAAATTACATATAATTGTAAATGTCCCTTCTATCTGTGAAATTATAAAGAAAAACAAAAAGAAAAAGAAGAAATTAATCTTTTATAGATCTGATAATTTAGAAAGAGTACAATTATCAGAACAGAATGTCAATGCAGGACAAGAAAAAACTGGTCCACAAGATTTTGAACTATGCAAAATTCTTGGAGAAGGTGGATACGGGAAAGTTTTTCAAGTAAAAAAAGTAACTGGGAAAGATAAAGGCAGTATTTTTGCAATGAAGGTAAATATTTTTTTTTATTTCTATGTTCATGTAAAAAGCTTTATAGTTTTTTCTTTCTATAGGTATTACGGAAAGCATCTATTATACGAAATCAAAAGGACACAGCTCACACAAAAGCAGAAAGGAATATTTTGGAAGCAGTGAAAGTAAATATACTTTACCATAAATATTTATAAGATATTTGGCTAATTATGGAGATTAAGATATACCTCATTGATTTTAATATTTTTTTTACATGTAGAAATCAACATTTCTAACAACCTTTTTTTTAAATACTTCTTACTTTTGCTTGCCATTAGTTTCCATGATATTTGCAAAAAACTTTTACTATTATTACATTGAATTAAACCTATACATTCAGGTTAGTGATAATAGAAGTATTAGTATATGCTTGCTGCTTATCTACTGTTTATATAGGTACAAACAACAGATGAATTTGTAAGGTTTGGGTTTAGGTATATAACTTGCAAACTTACTGAAAAGGTATCTTTTTATGAAATTTGAATGACTCTCGAATAATTTGTTTACACAGATTGTCACCACTTATACAGGCTGTTTAGAAAGTAGAGACCAAACTTTGAAGGGTTTACTCTCATCATTATTCTCACTGAGAGAATTAAAAAATGTCTAATCAACATAAGTCCTATAATCAATCCTTTCCACATAAAATTGACTTTTATTATTTATTTATTATGTAGATTTTAAATTTCCTTATAATTTATATTTGTATATTTCTATCTAACACTATATCTTAAATAATTAAAAATAAATATTAATTATTTTGATTATAAAAGAGTCAGAATAATTACAATAAACTTGATTATATAAAGTATGGGATGTAATATTTTTCAAATTATTCTCTTGGGAGAGACGATCGTCGCAATTGTCTCTCGTTGGAAACGCCGGATTCGCCCAGATCTCGCTTTATACTACATTTACTTCTATAAACTAATCTTTTATCGACATTGATAATAATTTTGTTGGTAACCTTGAATTAAAATATTCGTAAATAATAGAAGTTGATTTTCTATCGATAGGATTGTTCTTGGATTTTTGTTGATTAGATAATTTTTATTTCTGGAAAGAAATATTATAAAATAATAAAACCCTTTAAGTCTTGGTCTCTAATTTTTAAACATACTGTATATTCGAATCTAAGCCTAGTAATGTAATTCAACCAATACACTGTTAATTTTCTCGGATTTAAACATAATTTGAGATAAAGTTAGACTACTTAGGTGGTAACGGGCAGATTACATGGAGTCGATATAAATGAGTGATTAAAAATTCATGAAAAAACTTTTTAACAAGTTGTATAATGATTACCGGCTATCGTGATATGCTTATAAAAATTTAGATAAACAGTGGTTCTAAACTTACGCACGCGTTGCCACAAACACGTACAGAATTCAATGGCGTAGTAGTAAAAGTTCTTTGTAAATATCTTTAAAAACTACAACCAAGCAGAGGTAACATATATTTAAAAAAGTCATTCGAAATGTTCATTTTCATAATATATCAAAAAATAACACTGTTCAACACGAATTTTAATTTGTAATATTCATTGGGTAAGTGTTGTAGAATTTCTTGAAAAAGAATCTGTAATCAAAATTATTCTATTACCCTCAGTTTTCGCAAAATGTGAGTTTTTTTGGCTAAAATAAAGTATTACGTAAAATGTAAGAATGTTGGAAGGTTCATTGTTATCTTACAAGTTAGGTGAGAACATCCTGAGTTCATCAATGTCTTAATACTTTTATGTATTTGCATTTTTACAATAAGTTGTCATTTTACAAAAAGAAATCTCGAAACAGTTTTCAATTCAATTAGATCGAGAAAATATTCGTCGGTAATGTGTATACTGGCTTTTATCGCCAGGCAGCCAATGCAATCGAAATTGGTGAGGTGTACCCTAATCTATATATGTAACTACTGATATTTATGTCTTACTTTTCTTTCAGCATCCATTTATTGTAAACTTAATGTATGCTTTTCAAACTGGTGGTAAATTATACTTAATTTTGGAATATCTTTGTGGAGGAGAACTCTTCACATACTTAGATAGAGAAGGCATTTTCTTAGAAGATACAGCTTGGTAAATTAATTAATCTTTCAAATAATTGTAGATAATGATCTATGTAATCCATCACATTTGTATGTAACCATATATTAATAATTTTTAATTATATAAGTCACTATGTCTTTGTATTTTGTATTTATAGTTTTTATTTGTCTGAGATTATACTCGCATTGCAACATCTTCATAATCAGGGTATTATATACAGGTACAATATCTTTCATCATTAATATTATTTGGAATTTATTTAAGAATCCGTATATTTAACCCAATTAATTATTTTCACAGAGATTTAAAACCAGAAAATATTTTATTAGATGGTGAGGGTCATGTTAAATTAACAGATTTTGGTCTTTGTAAAGAACATATAGAAGAAGGTGCAGTAACACATACATTTTGTGGAACTATAGAATACATGTAAGTAAAATGTCCTTACTACATTAACTTGAACTTTTACTGTTAAGATAATTAAGAATAAATTATGTTTTTAAAATAATTTAACTAAAAATATTATAATTCTATTGCTATTGACATGTTTAGGGCACCAGAAATTCTTACAAGAAGTGGACATGGAAAAGCAGTAGATTGGTGGAGTTTAGGTGCTCTGATGTTTGATATGCTTACTGGAATGGTATATAAATTAAATAATAAATATCGAAGATCTTTTTTGTTGATAATTGAATCAAATTACACTTATTCTTCTCCTATAGCCACCATTTACAGGAGACGATAGAAGAAAAACAATTGAAAAGATTTTACGTGGGAAGTTAAGTTTTCCATTATACTTAACACCCGATGCAAAAGACTTAATACGAAAACTATTAAAGGTATATTTCAATTTTTCTTTGTAAAATAAAGATCCATTTTATTTAATTACTCACATTATGTGTAATAGAAGGTAATAAATATTTTATATATCGATTATAGAGACAAGTACTGCAAAGACTGGGATCTGGACCAGAAGATGCTGAACAAATTATGAATCATAATTTCTTTAAACATATTAATTGGCAGGATGTAATTTCGCGGAAGTTAGAACCTCCTTTTAAACCATCATTAGTAAGTATCTTAAATTGAAATAAAACCTGTTACAATAAATAAATCTTTTAATGTTTACAGAAAAGTGCTGATGATACATCACAGTTCGATGAGCAATTTACAGCAACTGTACCAGTCGATTCTCCAGTTGAAAGTACCTTAAGTGAATCTGCAAATATGATTTTTCAAGTTAGTACAAGATGTATTGTAAATATATCTTATTTGAAATAACCATTAAAATAATAAAATTAAATTTTATAAAATGCATGCAGGGTTTTACATATGTAGCACCAAGTGTCTTGGAGGAAATGTGTACACAACCAAGAGTTGTAAATGCTCGCAGCCCACGAAAAGGTCTGTTAAGTACAGGATTCAGTGGAAGTCTTCACAGTTTGTCATCAAGATCACCTGATGCCCATCTTCGTACAGCTTCTCAGTTTCACCAACATAGGTATTTTCAAACTTGATATTTCATTCGCATTTGCAAAAAAGTATGAATATTCCATATATAAATTCAACAATAATTATTACTTGTTTGAGTTTGCATTTCTATATTTGAAAAATTACTTTTTAATTTTTAGGCATCACATTGTAAGTTCAAATAATATGGATGATACCGAAATGGCGGATATAGATCCGCTTTTTAATTTTTAAGGCGTTACATGATAAATTTAGATTATATGAAAGATTAAGTAATAGTGAAATTATTTATGATAAGCTACATATAAATAGTGAAGAAAATGTTAGATCTTTCATTTTACATTCAACAAAATGTTTGTAAAATTATATCTCATGTTTACTTTGCATTTAAATCGTCTGACTGTTACATTTGATTATTGAATTCAATGTAATTTGTTCATATATATTTAGGAATGAACAACTCTAAATGTTTAAAAAATGTTACGCTTATAGAGCAGTGGTGCTACTCACGTACAAATCGTATGTAGACCAGTAGTTGCTCTAATGTGTCTGATAATTATTTGCAGTGTAAACCAGTAATATTATATACCTTTTGATTATGTAAATATGTGCAGATTCCCAATAATAAGTACATTTTGTTAAGCAAGACGCGCTACATCATTGAAAAATCTAAAAAATATTTTGTATGACATATCTTATTGTTGAAACGACTAATTCACGTTTTTAAAATGTTCCATTTATCGACAAATACAAGTTTATCGTTAGTATATAATATTAAATAAAGAAATTCGCTTAGCTTGCATACATTTAAAGATTTATCCTAGAAAAAATAAAAAGGTAAATCTTGCAAGTGCTTGATTATTTCGTTCAATAAATTAAACAATTTCAGAAAAAATATTTATGTAAATATACATTCCAAAGTAATTCAAATTTATTAGACGATAAATGTCGTATAAAATTTATATAGATTTTGTTAATTAAGACTAGGATATTGAATACAGATAAACGTGAAAGTCCTGTTCTGCCATTAGGATAAAGTTAATTTCTTTAAAATAAAGTTATTATTAGAAACAAAAGGGAGGAGGAGGGGGCATATGAAAGAATAAAAAGAAAGAAGAAATAGCAGTATATGTATAAAAATTATATTGATCTTTGTTAAAGTAGAATTGGAGAAGGATTATAAACAGATATACCTTTTTTTTTTATCGAAGAGTAATATCATCGTTCAAAAAACAGAATTGCATGTAGCAATGTTATGTTTTTTTTTTTCTTTTTTATAGAAAATTGGTCATGAAACTTATAGGATTAAAACTTGGAAAATATATTATATGATAAGAAATTAATGAAACTGGAATTAATTGGTATATTTTATACTGTCTTAAGTCTCATATGCCTCTCCTTATATGTTACCTCCTCCTTTTTTCATATATATGTAAAACGTGCGTATGTTTGACACATGAATAACTTTGTGATTCAACCTTACAATTTTTTCATTGACTATATATAAGTTTTCAGAGAATAGTGATATGCTTAAGTTGTATATGTAATCTGTTGGTAGATAATAGTAAAAGAATAATTGCAATCATTAACCAATCCGATTCTACTTTTTACACATAATCGTTGTGAAAGTGACAATTGAACAAACAAATTTTAACTGCCCAAGTGTTCACAGCTACTGGCTGAATAGTATTAAATTTTCCATAGAAAAACTTAAATGCGCTCACCTACGCATGCGTATGTAGTAATAAGTATGTAAAATTCTTGTTAATAGTTTATTGTGTTATAAAAGTAAAATGTTAAGAGTGAGAACTTAACCTGTTGTAAGATAAATATATGAAAATATGAAAATGCTCTCTTGCTTCTTTAAACCTTGAAATATGGTACATTAAAGATTTTGATCTATATCTTTCCATAATAAATGTATTACATCAAGAAGTGAGCAAAGCATTTTCAAATACATATGCACATATATATCCAATATCACTATTGAATTTAATCTTTGTGACTATTTTACTATTTTGGTATCTATAATTAAAAATTGAAAAGCTTAACATTTAATTCGAACTTCACACTAATATTATCTATTGTCTATTGTAAGGTACTATTTTAAATTCATATAAGCAATGTCTTAAAATTAAATCATTTTTATGTATATAATGTTATAATAGAAGTCTTTTTTGTGTATTTATTAAGTAGTTACACTCTTAAAAATACTTTTCAAGACAAAAGTTCGATTAATACTTAATATCATTAATATTATAAGTGTTAGGGATGTATAATGAAATATGGATTATAGTCACTTACAGATGGAATAACATAAATTTAAAATAACACTTGACTACAAAATTTTTTTCAGACAATTTTATTCCATATAGAATATTCATATATAATGTACTTTATATTGTACATAAATGAAACATATACAGGTTAAGTCATCTGAATTATTCTGAATGAATATGCCCTAAATGAAATTAGACATTGAAAAAATATTTTTTAAAATTAGTATAGTTACAAAAGACACATTGTGGTATATAAAATTTGACAGGGAATGTAAATTTTTAACTTCTAAGGTCATTTTAATTTGTTTGAAAATGAATAGCGAAGGATTTTTGGTTGTATAGGGCATGCAAAAACGAGTACAATAATGCTCTACTATGTGATCTTATTTTAATTAACAGATATCTGCTGATAACAGTTTATGTGACTTATTGTGTATATATCATATTTTAATTATCATACTCTTCGCAACTTATGCGAATAGTAAATATAACACCCGTCCTTATTGTCGCTATCATTATGTTTAATTACAATTCATTATAATATTGTATATTTTTAGTATGAGAAGTATAATTTATGTTAAAATCGTTTTGTTTTTTTTCTGATTCGATCTTCTCTAATTTTATCTCCGTTATACTCTGCAAGCTTTCTTTTTCCGCACTTATCAGAATTTTTATTTTTACTTTCTTCCATATCTTTTTCATGAAATTTCTTGTATTTGGATTTTTGTTCAAACTTCAGTTTACTTCGTCTCTTCTGATTGCCTGCTCTATTTTTCTCTTTTTCCTGAAAATGATTTGAAGTAGAATTTGTTTTTTCCTTCCTTTTATGTTCCTTTTTGAATCTTTTTGATGTATAATGATTTGAAATTTTATCAATATTATTTACATCACAGCTATTGCTATTTACTGTACTAGTACTGGTACTAGTACTAGTACAACTATTTGCATTACTGCTGCTGGAACTACTATCAGTATCTGTATCACTTTTATGCTTATTTTGTTTCTTTTTCAATTTCTTTTTTTCTGCTTTTTTGGTCCTTCTCTCAAGTTGCTGCAATCTTCTGCAATTAATAACTCACAAATTCACATTATTCTTAAATAAATCAAAATATTTGATAACATATAAGTAAGAAAAACATACATTAATAATTTTTTTTTTTCTTTTTTAGAAAGGGTTTTCAAAAATCTAATTTCAGATTGTTCTTCATCATCTGATACCATGAGATGTTCATGCTCAGGAACACGTAAATGTTGCTGTGCACTAAGAGCAGATCTACAAATATATTTCAATATATTAAAAAAAAAAGTAGGTATTCATAAAGAAAAAAAAATAAAAAATAAATCATAATATAATCTGTACTCACTTTTTAAGTGCTAACCCATCCTCTCTCATTTGTTGAACTAATGTTAAAGCGTCTGAAGTAGAGGTAGTTGGTGAATTATTTGCCATCACTACACTCATTGCTTGACTATATAGAGGACATTCCTTATCTACAGTAAAAATATTAATTATAAATAATAAATTTTTTATCTTTTGCATTACATATAATTTTACTATGTCAATAATTTATTTGTTATACAAACCTGTATTTATATGACCCCATTTATGACATTTAATACAACGAACATTACGTACTTGAATACCAAATGGTTGGTCTCTTATTTCACTATCACCTTTACAATAACTTTCTCTTGGTGCATTGTATTTGCGTTGCCATTCAAATTTATACTCTGGTTCATTGTCTTCCTTTTCTCTTTCTTTTTTTGCTCCAGGTGGTGGTTCATACATAAAATTCACACTAAGTTTATCCTTGCTTTCTTTACTTAATAGAGCTCTATACGAAACAAAGAAATAAATGATTCAAGAAAAAAAATATTTTGGAAAAACTTACTAAAAGAACATAATTTACTAACTTATTATTATGAAGATCCTGTTCTTTTTCATATTGAACGCGTAATTCCTCTTGCTTTTTCTTATAAGCCTCTGCTTGCTGTTCGGCCATCCACACCTTAAGAAAATGTAAGAAAAATTGCATATTTACTTATTATACAAATTGAAAATAACCTAAAAAAGTATACAATGAGCAAAACATACTCGCTTTAAATTATCTCGAGATGCTGGATGAAAAAACTTCTTACACATATAATTGTTAAATCCTTTTCCCATTTTTATTGTAATATGAATATGATCAAAATTCAACTAACATACACATACGCGTATTTAATATTTATAATAAATAACGTTGTATACACAATTTATCCACATATACAACTCCTAATGTCAGGGAAGGTTAGTACTTTTGTGAACACAGTAACTTTATATCAAGTTCTCCTATCATATAAATACGTCATTTTACAGAAGAGTCAATGTGTATATTATAAAATTTGTTAAAAAAGGTTATATTGTATAGAAAAAAGTATTGTTGGAACTCAGTATAGAACAGTGATATAAATATTACACTTTTTGTCGTGCAAGTATATCGACTGAAATCATTCAGTTATTTTAACATACAAGGTTATTTCAGTTCAATATAAAAATCTAGTAGGAAACAAATTGCTTTTATAATGACAAGTGTCAGATCACATTAATGTAAGAAAGTATTACATGAAATTAATGAAGTTCACTTTCAACGGTGAATTATTTCAAAACTAATTTATAATTCCTCGGATGAAAGTACAATTTCAAATGCAATGAAAATAAACGAGAAAAATATGGCAGCTTTTGCTACTTCAGCAACACCAGTAGATCGTGAAGGGTGGTTAAAAAAACGTGGCGAATTAAATCGTGGATATCAAAGAAGATGGTTCGTTCTTAAAAGAAATTTATTATTTTACTTCGATCGACGCGATGATAAAGAACCAGTGGCTATGCTATTTCTTGAAGGTTATACTATTGAATTGGCAGAGGACGAGGAACAGTTCGCTTTTCAAATTGTATTTCATGGTCCAAATAATAGAATAATTTATACTCTTGCAGCAGAATCTCAGGTAAAAATGTTCATTAATTCTATAACATAAATTATATGTTTTACAATAGTTTATGATGAACAAAATGGATTTGTATTTATTTATTTTCAGGAGTCTATGGAACAATGGATGAAAGCTTTAGCTCGTGCTAGTTATGATTATATGAAGTTAATGGTGGCAGATTTACAAAGACAGTTGGATGCAGCAGAAGAAGAAACAACAATGGTGATGGCTCCTTCTCAATCCCCTAAAGCTCCTCCTAGACAACGACATAATCCTTTTAATAGATCCGAGTTGCATCACCGTTCGCAAAGTGTTAGATCTGCGCCTGGAAGAACAGAAAATGTTCCAAGGACAAGGATAACATTCCGTGAATTACATAATATGTATGGTAGAAGAATTTTAGCAGATCTAAATGAATGGAGGCATGCAAGAAAAACTACAGAATCACCCTTGATCAGTTTTTAATAACGTATTAAACCTAAGTATCAATGTATTACTTGATGCTTTAAGGCTTCCCTATACTTCTTTTATATACAAATATATATACACATTAAACATTATTAGAATGTACCATTTATTTTTATAACAGTAAAATATGTACAATCAAAATGTAACAAAATACCTTTGATTGTTATTGAATATTACAGATTATTATGGTCTCGCACAATAGAAGGAATACTTGTCTATAAAATATAATTACTTATTATACTCAAAAATGAATTAGAAAGAAACAATGATATAAAGATACTAATATGTAAAATTAATTTGAAAAAAGACATTATTTATGAAACAAAACAATTGATAGTTACCATTAAATCAATTTGAGTGACCAATACGAATGAAAATTTTCAGTATTGCTTAATAGTTAAATAGGTAATAAACGATATAGATTTGTAAGTGGTTGAAAACTGTACAAACATTGTTTGGCTTTAATAAAAATACTTAGCAATGCACTAAAAATTTTTTCATTATATATTTCATTACAATAAATACTGATATTCTCTGTATTTGTATAAGTGAAAAATTCATCAAAGTACAAATTTTTGTTTTTACTTAAATTTAAAAACACTTTTTTTCCTCACATCACCTGGTAGATGTCTAGCACCTAATAGAAGACGAGCTTTATCTTCTTCTTGAGGAGCAGATTCTTCTTGCGGACCTCTTGGTTTGATTTGTAATTTCTGCTTAATGGCTTGACTTAATATTACACGTCTAGAATCACTTTTCATAGCCAAAAGTAAATCAAGCCATGTCCAAGTGACATTATGATATTCTAATGTAGGTATTACCAAAGCAAAATCACGAACATCTTCTAAATTTTTTTCCTTATTTCCCTGTGTTTGATGTGTGTAGGTACATATGGATAAAACCAAATAACTTAATAATATTTAAATTAATAAAATTATTCAATTTTATAAAATTTTGCTATAAATACCTTATACGAAACACGAACGGGAACTTCTGGTATTTTAATATATATAAATAATTTATTTTTGTCTGCACGTTCTTTCATTTTTTCTACGTCATCTCTTCTTTCGATCGGTACATAAAAAGAGGAATCTCTTTGTGGTGCAGGAGGTTCTTCTATACCCTCTGGATCTCTCTCAGGGAAACAAAATTTGAGCATTGTATTGAAGAACTTTTTCGTTAAACCTATTAATAAAATGAATAATTTGGATGAAAGATTGTTTAAAATATTTGATTAGCGTTATTTAAGAAACCATCAAGTTTTGTAAGAACTTGAGGCAGTGAGGAGAGAATATGTTATAATACTTACCTATCGTCAATGGAACAACATTGATTTCAAAATGTTCCTTTACAGATATCCCGGCGACTGGTGCTTTTTCTCTACAGAAAACGCGAAGAGCTCTTTTTCTATCGACAGGCATATTATTTTGTAATTCTGTGGGCGTTAATACATCAGTATAAACTTGATTCGGTAGTAAATTTGTCATCCTAACATATCCTAATTCGAGTAAATGTTCAACTGAATCATCAGTTTTACTTGTTTTGGTGTACAAAAAATTGGTTAATAGAAGATCAGCGATTCCCAATTGACCATCTGCATCCGTTAATCGCCATTGAGCGTGTTTGAAGCAAATTTCTGCCACTCTTGCAACTGCTGCTGGTTTATCTTTCAAGGTAGTAGAAGCTGTGGTTGGGGCAGTTGTTTCCTTGTAGCAACTTAACATTACATCAAGTTCTTCCGCTTTCGCTCCGAGTTGTTCTTTACATTCGAAAACTCTAGCTTCTAATCGTTCCATTTCTACTAACAATTCAGGACTAGATTCCTCTGCAAGAGCTTTTTGCACCAAGTACGTTTCACGTTCTAATCTTCTTAATTTTGCTACCAAGCCACGTACAGTGTTTTGTAGTTGCTGAATTGGCCGTTTTTGATCTTCAACTGAATGTAATTGCAATTGAAATCGCATTCTCTGTAAACGTTCTGATGCTTCTTTTCTCCTTGGTTCAACATAAAGGAGCAAATTGTTAACGATATCTAAAATCATAGCGTATTGCAACGAATTCGTGCAAACATCTAAATCATGATGCATCAATGTAAATGCATCAGCTGCTGAAAGTTCTTTTCTTTCCCATGGACTAACTTCTTCTCTTGGTGGTGGTGGAACTTGATCAACAAAGCCAACATCTAAAGCTTGTCCATAACCAACATAGAAGAACTCACATTTACATCTTGAGACAATACGTTGTAATTGGTGTTGGGGTCCACCACCACCACCAACAGTTTGACTGACCACACCACCAACGCTTTGTCCAGAACCTACTAATGCTGGCACATCTGGTAAACCAGCTATTACAGTAGAATCTTTCTCCTAGTTTAATGTATAAATTTTAGTCATGATCAAACATTTTAATTATAAAATTTACTTACTTGTATATTGTCTAATGTCAACCACATTATATTATCGTCAATATTTTCGTCAATGTTGGCGCTAACAGTTGCGTAGTACTGCATACACTCCAATGATCCAACCCAGGTTGTCTTTGATACTAATGTTCTTTCTTTCCATATAGGTTGATGTACCCTTTGTAATATTTCTGCTTTAGCTGCAGATAAAATCACGTATCCTCGTGTTTCAATACCTTTCAATAATACTTGACTGTTTACTAAAGCAACTAAAAAATGCAAAACAATTTTTTTTTTTCACTTAATTATATATTATTCATAGAAATTGTATATCAGATGATTATAATACGCATATATATGTATCATGCTTGAATATGCAGTTATACACACATACTTAACCAATTTTTGTGAAGGACGTCATCTTGATGACAAGCTGCCAGTCCTCGCAATTGTTGACCTCTTGTTTGTACTGATAGATCATCGCTAAACGCTACAGGTTTGTTTGCAGCCTCAGCTATTAATCTCTGTAACATACCAACAGCTTCTCCTTGTTGCGGTTTCGTTGAGGAAGATGGATTTACTTGTGTCACCGCATTCTGCACCTCGACCGATCTTGTTCGATTTTTGTGCGGTGTTGATTTATTTTCTCTATGAAAGCCTTTCAAAGCTGCAGTAGAAAGATTTTTCTTAAGTTGCTGAGTTTTTATGAAAGAATCAAAGAGGGCGAACGCCACATCCCTATTTGTTTTTGTCCAAGCCCCTTTTAAATCATGTACCACAAGTCTATGTGTAGGAGTATCCCCTTCAGTAACCCCAGTTACCATTGCTTCTCTACCATAGCTGACACGAGCTACACTTAAACAGTAACACTTTTCGACCGGTTGTCGGAGTGAAGCGCTTTCCTTGTCTTCGTGGAGGGCGCTTTTTAGCCAGATTTCCGCATCACTAAGTTCGCAATTCATATACACCACAGACCATTCGGCTCTTGGACGATGTATTAGACCATCATCAATTGGATGTAAAGACAAATTATGCTCACAGCTACATCCTACTCTTCCACCAGTTACTTCGAATCCACGTTGCATAGCGAAAGACATCCAATAGCTGACGTGAAATCGATGGAAAGCTAATGTTAATCGTACTTTCCTATAATGTCTGCTCAATTGTTTCTTCCTAGGTCGGATGTTTTTAAAAAGTGGCCCTTTCCTTGTTGTTCTTGTTGCTCCGGATAAAATGAATTTTAAATTTTCAAACCATCTAAGAGTGCTGCCATATAGTAAAGCAGTTGGTGCGCTTGCCAGTGCTGGAGATCCAGTAGGTTTCGTTTCAAGCGAAAGACTAACATTTAAATTTTGTGAACGAAATGCCCTAAATGAATCATGCTCTTGATTACTTGAATATTCCGGTAATCTGTCTGGCGCACAGGGTATCGCGGCATGATGGTCTCTAGGATCACCTAAACAAACCCAGGCTAATTTTATGCTCAAACGTACATTTGGTAAATGTAGTAATCTGCAATCATCATATTTGCTGGCTGTTCGAACATAAACATCTAGATCTCCTTTTACAATAATTCTTCCTTGCGTCCAATCAAGCTCTAGTCCTGTCCATGTAAGCTCCATTTCCTCTGTGGTATTATATGGATCCAGTGAACCATGTAGTAGAACTGTCAACTGTTTCACACAAAATGTTAATCTTCCATGAAGAGCTAGGCGCATTTTGTCCCAAAATGGTAAAGGAGGGCTCGGATCTCGTGACGGATGGATAATTTTTTCGAAACTAAGATTACATTGTGCTATCACCGGCTCCCAACAAGGACCGAATGCGTATCTGAATTTATCAACATCCCAATTAAGATCGTGATAATATTTCAACGATGTCATTCCTCTTTCTACGATAATGTCCTCCCAGGGAGTACCAATTTCAATTCTCACAGTTCGCCTAGCTCGCGGCGGTGCTAAAGCTTCTGCACCAGCTAATCTACCCCATACGCTTAAATTTTCTACTAGCAATAACGGTTGCGGAAAATCTCGCAACTGTAATTTCCATTCGGCACACTTTAAACTAATTCCTCTCACCCACAACGTACTAAATTCAAGACCATCCTCTGGCCAAGGAGTTTCTGCATCCATTTCTCGAAGAGCTTTCGTTGCGTTTTCCGTACTATCAATCGATGGATCAGCTAAAGCTAATATTTCAATATCCAACATCGACCAAGCAAACAATCGTGTCCTAGCTGGGCCAGCGCGTTGCATTTGTTTCCACCGCTGTACATATATCTCGGCATGCTTTTTATTCAAACTGGCATATAATTCCTCGACTTTATCCTGAGGAAGTAACAAATGGGCTCGACATAGTTCTTGCACTTTAGCATCAAGCATTGCCTGTCTTTTTAAGCTTTCTTTATATTCGTCTTCTAATAATTCGTAATTGTCTCGTAACCGTACTTCGAATGGATCGTCGCTTACCTCGAATACCCATTCCTTGATCTGAAATATAAAAACAATAGTTTTATGTCTGTTATAAAGAGCAACTACTAAGTCGTTTACTATATTTACGTACTTTTACAATTAAATCGTACGGTAAACGTTTCTCTTGTCCATAACTAGATGTCAATGACGAATGAATTTCTTTTAACCATTTCTTTATACTAAACAACTCATTCTGAATTGCGTCAGTAAACTGATGTTCATACGGAAAGCAAGCTTTTACTGATTCGATGTTCAGCATCCAAGTCTCATTCCAATCCAAGACAAAACCTTCGTTACTTTGACGTTCTAATCGTACATCCGTATTATTCAATACCCTGATTAACTCGAATCCTTCAATCATGATGATGTCAGCCATATCTAAAGTAGCGCGCATATAATTCAATCTCCATTCTCCTTGCGACCAACGCAACTGATCTGACGAAAGTTCTAAAAAGTGTTTTGGAGAAATATCTATAGATAGACTAATTCCGCCAGTAGCTAATATATCTATTAAACGTTTCTGTTGATTTTCAACATTTTCATCTGTAAACAAAATTGAAGTTTATAAAAATAACAAAAATTAGAAAAACAGATGAAATAAAAGAATACTGAAAAAACAACAATAATGGTACATAGGAGTATTTTATGCAATTGGATCCATATTTACTATTGAAAGCAATAGTTCTAAAATTGTAGATAATAGAACAAAATTTTATTTGTCAAAATTAAATGATGTTAAGTAGTGTATAATCTAGTGCAGGTAACGTATGATGTGTGACTAATTCACAAGTTTCAGAAATTTCAAGTTCACCTCTATTTCTTTACCTAGAAATACATCTTTTTTATGTGTCAACGATTACATCCTTTTATTATCTATGTAAAAGTGTTAAGAGATTCTACATATATTTGAATATTTTTTAAGCGTATCGTTCATATTACCTCCTATTTATGTCTATTCATTCATTGAGATACTTTTTACTTAAATAATCTAGTCCAATTTTTAAATTTTATTCTACTAAAAATATTTCAATTTTTACTAAACACAAAAGGGTATCAAAAGGCAATACGTTTCTACAATGTATAAAAGAAACGTTAAAATGTATGTACTTATGTGAACACAATTTACATATTTATGTACTTAGAAAATTAAAATATCTCTTTCTAAAAATCAATTTTTGATCTAAATGATCTAATATCTTTCTATAAAAAATAAATAGATATGTCTACTGAGGAGCACAATAATTTATATACAGTTCATGTAAAACAGGTAAAAATGATTGTGAAGTCTTCAAAATATCTCCACTTCCGGAATAGACATGTAAACCAGATCATGCACCATTCAACATCACGTAATTTTACTTTATGAAATTTTGTTCTTCCTTCTACCGTTTCAAAGCTATGGGTAGACTCAATTACATAAAACATCATATATATACATAGGTATTATATAAATCTATATATTAACTTTGAACAATGATCGTCGACGTATCTCCATTTATGATAGATCTAAAATCTGTAGATTCTAGCCAAAGTTGTAAGAGACGAAGATGTAAATTAGGACTCCATGCCAAGCTGGTGCCATCCAAACTAATATTTATTGTTTCAGAAGTAACTGCACCTTTGCACTTTCTAATAGCTAAAAAAGGATGTGTCAATGCTTGTGCATGTTGACAGATAACTGGTTCGTTTTTATTCAACGTGATTGCGCTCACACCCTCTGTTACGGCCACTAATCGTTTTGTATTGTACTCTACATTTGCAGTATCTAAACGCATCATGACGGAGACTAAACAATTAATTGAAACATTAATTCTCAATTTTTTGATTAAATTTCTTATATAGGATATCAATAAATAGTAATTTATACTGTACGTACGACTGTTTTCCGCAATAAAGAATGAATTACAATTTGTAATCTTAAGATTCAATTGAATAACACTATCTGATTCTTTGGTACTTTTAAATGTCTCGATTCTTCTGTTGTACATTTGACAGCATCTACCGAAGAGTTTTAATAAATTACAAACATTTAGAATACTGCTACTCGTTTTTATGCCTTACCTGTATGCCTCTTCAAGAAACCCAGCAAGTTCCAAACTCCATTCAGTTACAAGAGCATCGACAGCAATTCCTACAGCATTAGTACGTGTTGTAGCTAATAATACTCCGATAGATAGAGGAGTTCCCCATCGATGAGATGTTTCCGAAATAATTGCACTGGAGCCATTTAAAGTGCAATACAAAGATTCTACTACTAACTCTGTGTTCCAATTGTCTACCATATCTGGGGAATTATGCAGACATTGCAGAATAATTATTCCATTAATCCTAATATATATAAAAAAATTCAATATAAAAATAAGTTTCTGTATTATACCTGCAAGTGTATTTAATGAAAATTTCATATGAGATACACCACATGAAGCTTCATGAACATCCAATAATTTGATACATAATGATGAATCATAAAGTTCAGTATTTACTCTTATATCTAACCATGGTAATTTATTTTTTAATGTTATACTACCAACAGGTCTAGAAATTTCATCATTGGTATTACACAATATTGTTTCCCAATCTTTATGATCATAAATAATAGAAAGATTACTGATTTGTGTAGCAATTTGTAAAATATCCTCATCCATCTATGAAAATCAATCAGATCACTATATAATACATTTGTTAAAGCAAACAATAACAATATGTAAACATAAAGCATGTAGTTTTTACCTTTGAATTTATTATCAATGATCGTAATGTCAAAACAGGAAATTTGCTACGAATTGAAAGTCCCTCCAAATTTAAAGTAAGATTTAACAGTGGGTTATTAAATGCTTCAAATTTTGTGTTAATTTGCAGACTCTTCATTGTACCTTCTAAACCAAGAAGTATACCATCTTCTCTACCCGTTATTATAGAAGAATTACCCACTTTCAGTGTAAAATCCTGAAAATATTTAATAACATGAACTTTTTAAAATTTTCTAATAATAAATTATTTTTATCTTTTGCTTTTAAGTAATTTGTAATTGTGAATTTACTTTTGGTATAACTGGTGTCAATCGAGCTAAAAGATTATTAGAAGACTCGACTTGTGCATCTGAATACGAAGATGCAGTGTTAGTTAATGAACTTCTGTCTTTGAAGAATGTAATAAGACCTGCTCCTCCAGAACCCTCTGTCTGCGTTATTCCGATGTACAATTTCTATAAATTAGATCCTGCTTGATTCCAATCTAATCCCATTGCAAAGGACAGTTGTTCAGGATCATCCATTAAGTGTGCTAAACACAAATAGCTATCGTTCAAAGCATTGAGCTACATCATTGGATCTCGACATAGTATCGTATAACTCCCTAGCCTTTGCAATTTGCATATTAAAGCAAGTAGGTTTCTATAACATATATAAATTCTACAAACAACCTCTTCATACCTCTACCGAAAGTTCTCCTTGTGCCTTAAGAGTCGCTTCTACTATTCCAGCAAAAGATATCTGTGAGATGCAAGCATCTGATGCATGGCATAACAGTTTCATTGCTCCACCTATGATTGCAGCAGATGCAAGAAGGGTACGGGCTCCATGAACAACACTACCATCTAAAGTAAGACTTTCAGCACTTCCATTAGCTAACCAACCATTACCCAAAATCAAAAGGCTTAAATTCTCTACATGCACAGCCATAAACTGAAACATATTAAGGTAATTCTAGATAGTAAGTAAATAATTTTAACAATCTCATATTACAACAAATCTATTACAGTATACATACTTGTACAAATGTTATAATTATGGGTGGAATTTTCTTATTTCGAAAATCCATTGGTTTCTTTGGTTTTCTCACTATTTGTACAGGTTTTGCTGGAACATCTTTATTAATTCTAACATCTTTCATAATCACAGCTAACAGTTTTGCAACATCACTGCTAAATAAACTGCTCCTTATACTGATTTCTTCCACTTGCTAAAATTAGTTTAAATTTACTGAAGTATAATTAATCACGAAACAATAATGTTGTCTATAAAAATAATATAACTTACCAATGTAAAACCATTTTTAGAAACATTCACATCTCGTAATATAAAATACGGTAATGAAATGTGGCCGACACGTAGATAAATTTTATATCGTCTTTTTACTAACCATGCTAAAAATCTTGGTATTATCCTGATAAATTAAGTATTATTAATACTTAATTTTACTAAATTTTCAATTATAGCAATTATAGTTACCATATATAATCATTGTGTATCTTACCAAGTAAAGCTACAATAAAGGATAAAACAGGTTATACACAACGCTATTAAACCAGTCATTTTTACAAATCACATACTGCAGAAGAAGCACAAATGCAAATATTTATTAGCACAAAAAGTTATTAAAATGATTGAATACACCTTAAAGCTTTATGATTGCCAAATGATTAACTTAATTTTATATATGTATATTTACATAAGTTTTCATATTATTACTTCGTTTACAGCATATCGATATATCGATGTTTTCGATAACGTATCTGAAAACGTACATCACTTCAACCATATTTGTTGGTGATTCAACCAACCAACGAAGTATTCTTGATCACGTAAATTACGAGAAGTGAGAAAAAACACCTTTTAATATCATTAAGTATTTAATTCATTCCTAGTTATTATTTAATAAGAAGAAAAATACCATACACTACGAGTACTCTACATAGCGTATGAAAACAGACGAAATTTGACGATTAACTTCTCAACTGGACGTTAAGGTTAGTTTGTATAGTTTATCATAATGATAGGATAGTTTATTGTTTAACCAAGTGAAATATACAAATAAGTATTGAAATAATAAATATACTAAATATATTATATGGACTTTAAAAACTAGGGACAACCATAAGTGCGTTGTATCGGATAAATTATATCAAATCGATCGTAAGAGTTCTAGTTTAATCGATACATAATTTTATGTCTATTTTTATATATCATTAAATGTAAAAAAATAAAGTTAAAGAATTATTGTATTGGAAGAAATTCAACTATAATAATAACAACAATAATGAATTATCCTTAAAGAAAATATCGGTACTTTAAATAGTGCTATAAACAGTATAATTTACAGAAATAAAAATATACAATTATTGAATATTGTATTATAGTTTGTTCATAAGTATAACTGAATCGGTCTCAGTATCTGAAAGTATCATATATGGGCAACGGAATTTTTAAGACAATTTATGTTTTTTGCGCATTGCAGAACATTGTCATCACATATTTTGTATTAGCGTAGAATGAATCAACGATATTGTCTATAAAATATGAATACTAATACCATATTAAATTAAAGGTGTATTTAAAATAAATTTGACGTTAAATATTTAATATTAAATGTATGGTATTAAACAAACTTGCGGATTTGTAAATCAATGAATACAATGAGTGAAAAATAGTTGCAATATTTTCAGCTACATTTCGAAAAGTAGAATCAGTGACCAGATCAAAGTGTGAAAATTTGGAAAAATTTATGAAAAATCTAAAAAAGATATTTTAGCTGGTTTATACACTTGATACGTTGCCATGCGAATATCGATTTGAAATGCGTTGAAAGAAGCATGCGACCGAGTTTTACCGAGAATTCACGAGAAAAGTCACTCGATCAATGTTTCAACGAATCAACTTGTTATATGATTTTCGGCTGTTATGAATCAATAGTGAAAAAAGAAGAATAAATTACATTAACAAACAAACGTGAAATTAATGGGATAAAGGACAAGCGAGATAAGAAATATAAGAATGACGAAGAAATAGAGAAAGCAAAGAAGTAAATTGGAACAGAGAGGAAGATGTATCCATAGTTCTCATGGACGATATCGATAAAAAGAGTGATTCGACAATAATTTAATTATAAATATAAACAAAGCTATAATAACGTCACGTTATGCGAAACGAAAGAAGCAGAATGATAAACAATATTTCATCGAGATGGTGTCCAAAACAGAAGAACGCATTGACGATACCGGAACGCAAAAAGTTTAGACGTGTACACGGACTTCAGTTTCCATTACATCCTCAGCAAATAATCGGTTGGATCGTAATTTTAATTTTTGTAGTAAATACCTTCGCAGTATTAACACCGCTGCTTGAACCGAATTTACGACCAGTTTTTTCGATCGTGATTGGTGCAATCTTTTTTACGCACATTTGTTCTCATTTGACAGTACTTTTATTGGATCCGGCGGATCCTCGTGTCAGATCTCAGCCACCAAATAAAGTTTTACCCGAATTTGACCGAAATGAACATTCGCATGTAATCGAGAATGGTAGATGTCATCTTTGCAACATAACTACTGAAAGCAAAAGGACAAAGCATTGTTCAATTTGTAACAAATGCATTGTTCGGTTCGATCATCATTGTAAATGGCTCAACAATTGCATTGGCGCTAGAAATTATTGCGCTTTCCTAGTTTGCTTGATTTCTGCGATTTTCGCAAGTCTGTTTGTCACCTGCCTATCCGCGACAGAATTGTCACTATCTTTATTTTCCAATCTAATCGTACATTATCCCGTTACAAATGTAACGATGAAGAATACGACTAATCCCGAAATCCCTTTCATCCTTCCTACCTCAGACGCTACTATCATAATAGCGATCTCTGCAATTGGAATTCTTTCGGCGATCGTAACGATACTTTTAATTCATTTATGTTCTTTTCACGGTTATATTGCCTGCCTCGGATTGACCACGTATGAATATATACGAAACAAAAGGGAAAAAAATTCTGTTGCTGCTGCTGTTGTGATTGCTGCAACTGCCACTGTTACAGCGGCTGCAGCTGCAAGTGCTTCTATCAGCACCACCACTGCCACCACCACCACCACTTCTATCACTACCACTACCACTATCACTATCACTAACACTAACACTATCACTACCACTACCACTACCACTACCACTACCACTACCACTACCACTACCACTACCACTACCACTACCACCACCAGCTCCACTGCTATGAATTTAAATATTACCACAGTTACCTGTAAGACTTCGACAACAATTCAACAAATACTTCCTAAGTCAAGGATCCGATATAGTTTTCGTAAATTTGATTCCACCGGTCATTCTATAGTATCATTTTTTAGAAACAATATAAATTTGTTGATATGTCGCGGTACAAATGAAAACCAAAATGAACTGAAAGAGGAATCATACCAAACTGTAACGAAAACCTCTCCTTCTTGTCAAGAAAAAAGAAGACAAAATTTTCGACTTCGTTTCTCAACTTATGAATTTGAATCACAATTGAACAAAATGTCGACAGAAATGACATCAAACGCAGAGGCAACAATTAATAAACCTACAATTGTGTCGCAGAATTTGAATATTACTGCTAGTTTATCCACATCATCACCTCTTTTTTGTTGCTTCAGTGTCCTCGATTCAGTACGTTCAAATTGTATGAAAAATAAGAGATCGAATGAATTGAAGAAACGATCTATCTATGATGATACATCTGACTCAGTGATACATGTTTCAACAAACACTTGCAAACCTATTGAAAGAGTAGAGAAATTATTTCGAACATATGTAAGTAAAAAAAAAAAATAGAAGAAATTGTAGAAAGAAAAAGAATGATATGCAATCTTTCATTCCGAATACAGTGTATGTACCAAAGTCTAAAGGAGTAGATAACATTGATTTGAATCAAGCATCAATCAAAATAGATTTGTACGTAAAGGATATGGTGCTAATTACCGTCTCACGTACGGTTCCCATCAAAACGCTTACAATTACTATACCACAATCTCATTTAAAACTTATTCCGTTGCACCACTAGTTAATCACAGAATCAATTGACCAAACTTTGTTTCAGTCGCAAAAAACGTTCGGAGCGTCGATGTATAATAGGTCTGGTACACATTTTTTTCTTTCGAAGAGTACAAACGACTGAAACAAAGTTACATGTAGCACAGTCTATGAAGCTGTCTCCTATTTCGGAATCGGAATCTTCCAAAGCTATTACACCACGATCAATGCATTCTTCTATATCGTCGTATTCTATTCCTCCTACTCGATTTCTTTGTTCACCATCATCACCATCGTCACCATCGTCACCATCGTCACCACCGTCACCACCGTCGTCACCGTCACCACCGTCGTCACCGTCACCGTCACCGTCACCATCACCATCACCATCACCATCACCATCACCATCACCATCACCATCACCATCACCATCACCATTACCATGACCATCACCATCACCATCATCACCACCATCATCATCATCATCATCATCATCATCGATATGTTCGTCGTCATTTTCACGAATCGGTTGATTCATTCCATCCTCACGAGAAACGTAAGATCTGTCATACCAGTTGACTACTCTCTGCTAACGTATCATATAAAATGATGTAAAACTGTAAGCTGCAGTGTTTATGAAATGAACTTATTATATTTTTTCTTTACAAATTTTAATATGGAATAATAATACTAGAAAAAATGGCATGTAAAGTGGGGTGGGGGGGGGGGGGGACTAATTATGTACGCCATATTTGAAAGCCGAAATTTAATTATTATAAAGTGAGTACTGTTCCGGATATACGGAATTTTTTAAACAGATGTACTCTTCACTTAGATGTGAAGTATGATCTCCAGTATACTTATGATTACATATTTTCGTAGATGTCAGTGGCATCAGTAAAAATGGCTAATCAACTCACAGATTCTACTACGTCAAAGATGAATATTTGGAAAAATGTATTGGGTTCTCCACGGTACATAGTAGCACCGATGGTCGATGCGAGCGAATTAGCTTGGAGGCTGTTGAGTCGTCGTCATGGAGCACAGCTTTGTTTTACACCAATGCTTCATTCTTCGGTTTTTTGTAGAGATCCGAAATATCGGCGAGAAGCTCTTTTCAGTATTGCTGAAGATCGACCATTGGTCGTCCAGGTATAGATACGTACGTCGAACAGCTCACTTTAAATCGCTATTCATCTTTACATCCGTTGTTTACAAATATCCTTATTTCCATTAACTTATTTATATAAGCGTGCGTTACAGTTTTGTGGTAACGATCCGAATACTCTATTGGAAGCAGCACTTTTGGCAGAGCCATACTGTGACGCAGTCGATATAAATATTGGTTGTCCTCAAGCAATTGCAAAACGTGGTCATTATGGTGCTTTTCTTCAAGATGATTGGGATTTACTTCAACAAATCGGTTTGTAATATAAATTTTAGGTAAATTTATCAGTGTACTGGTTTCTCATTAATTGATGAACTTGAAATATGTTATGGAGGACAATATTTTGAATAATTTTTTTACTTTACATATATATAATAGGTAGTCTATCTTTCTGAGATGTTAACAAAATTCTTTTGATATTATTATATTGAATTCTGTCTATACTCGTATGCATCCATAAAGCAGTTTACAGGACAAACAGTTTCTTCGTCTCTTGATATATTTGATTACAAAAATTATTGATCTTTACCGATTCCCCCCCCCCCCCACACACACACACACATACATATGTATGACGTATAATATGTAATATAAAGATCTATCTCCACAGATGTGATTAAAACGACCGTTTTTCCATAATAGCAGTCGTCGACGAGTGTCGAATAGCAGTGTGTATTGATGTATTTGAATATCATAAAAATCACAAAGAATCTAGTATATCGATAAATTCACTAAATTTTGAATAAAAGACAATTCACTTATAAATTACAATTTAACTTTTATAAAAAATTGCAGTAAGTACCTTAAGCAGAGGACTTCGTGTGCCAGTAACTTGCAAACTTCGAGTATTTGCGGAGGTCGACAAAACTGTGGAATACGCTCAAATGCTCGAAACCGCTGGGGCACAATTACTTACCGTGCATGGACGAACTCGAGAACAGAAAGGACCATTAACTGGTATCGCATCGTGGAATCATATTAAAGCTGTAAGGTATAATTAATGAAATTCAAATATATTTTTTCCTTCTTTCTGCTCGTTTAACATTTACATCTTTCCTTTGTTATTTATTATTATTCCAAATATTCAGACAGGCTGTCACAATTCCAGTATTTGCAAATGGTAACATACAGTGCTTGCAAGATGTTGAAAAATGTATAGAAGAAACTGGTGTTCATGGCGTAATGTCAGCCGAGGGCAATCTTTATAATCCGTATATATTCGAAGCTCGATATCCACCTAGTTGGGAACCAGCACTTGAATATTTAGATTTAGTGGAACGTTATCCAGCTCCTGCTTCTTACATTCGTGGTCATCTCTTTAAATTGTTTCAACACATGTATGTATAAAAAGCTAATTTTTTTAGATTATATATATAAACGATATTCTAAATTACAAATTAAATTATGCGTTCAGCGTTCTTTTAACTAGAGAGTAGACTTTGTTTAGCAGAAAATAAGGAAGAGAGAGAAAATTTGGCCAAAAATTCTACCATGGAATCCTTTAAAAATGTTGTATACACTTTGAGGGACCGGTATCTATCTTACCACGAAGGACATCTAATTTGGCAAGAAGAAACATCTGGTTCGTATAATCTACTATTGATGTATAATATATGGATAAATTCAATCAGTCAATTCTCCATTCCATATTACATATGATACTCATGTGCGGTGGTTGTACACGTTTTTTCGCATTTACAAGTATTGTATGTTTCAGATTATAATTTAAAATTACCTCCGTGGTTGTGCCAACCATATGTACGTCATCTTCCAGGGAATAATGTACTAAAGCTAGAAACTGAAAAGATTGGAATGGTTAGTTTATCACAAACTTTTGCGTTTTATATTCTATAAACGTTTTTATTTCGTATCCTTATAAAATAATTGCTCTCTAATTTTAATACACTTTTCGTAGCAAAATGAAACAATAAAGAGAAAATTTAAAGATGAAGAAGGAAATGAAATATCACGAAAACGTTTGAAAAAACTTGAACGAATAGCTCGCCGCCCCAACAGATCAGCTGTTGCCGTAAGAAGAGGATCCGATCTATGTCGTGACTGTCCAAATCCAGTGGTTTGCGAAACTTAATTTTAAATATCATTTTTTTTATGAAGTTGAATAAAATTCATTAATGTCTACAATATATTTTTTTTGTAGAGTCTCAAATGTGTTCATAAATTATGCCGACAGTGCTGTAGAAACAAATGTTTTACGGAAAATCTGGATTGTGCTGGGCACAGAAACTTAACTAAAACTAGAAGACAAATGGCGATAGAATTTGCAGCTAAACGAAAAACTATTCAAGATACAATATGACATTGTACAATATTCTAAATTATAAAGATAAAAGCTAAATAAATACATGCATATATACATGTACATAACAATGTTTTGTAAACGTTATATTGATTTCCATATATGATTATAATCAATAACATGTATTATTCACAAATTATACTACAAATTATTTTATCCAAATCTGCAGACTCATTTTTGTACAATAATGTTACATCAATTCTCATATTATTATGAAGCAAATTTCAAGGTGGTTCATTAAACAGTTGAAGATGTTGATGTATTTTTGTTAGAATCGTATAAATATCACTTCTTTTTTCATCTGAAATTATATCTTTCTGTTTTTTATGATGATACCAGTGTTTCTTATTTACAAGCATAAGAATTATAAGAATAGGCAGATGAATTAATGAGAAATGAAAGAGTTTTCGTGAACTTCCACTATCTGAGTGTTTATGAAACCTCCAGGCTGGAAAAGAAAATATACTGTGAAATACCTTTCATACATTCATTATAGAGTGTTATTCTTTCTTCTTTCCCTTTGAAATTTAATAAATATGTCTTTAACGTACCAAGGTAAAGAAAATATGCATTAAGTGGTGTTGATGTTAAGGCAAACCACCAATTAGTTACATTAAAAACAGGTGCTAAATAACAAAGACCCATTAATGCAGCAGTATACCGTAATGCCGTTTTGCGGCAAAGCTTTGGATTTGTAACTGCCATCATTCTATAACCAGCACGTGAATAATCTGGTCTTAAATTCCACGATAAAGCATTGAAATGAGGAAATTGCCATGCATATAATAATCCAGACATTATCCAAGCATCTGGAGACATTATATTGCCAATACAAGAGGCCCAACCCATTAATGGTGGTATAGCTCCAACTGAATAACAAACAGTACATGATATTAGTTTATATCATAAAACATGTACAAATATAATAATAGAAATATGATATACTTGCCTACAGAGCCTACCCAAGTATTGAGGATACTAATACGTTTCATAGGAGTATAAATAAGAGTGTACAGAATCAGATTAGCTGCTCCCAAAACAGTTGTTAATTCATTAACTTGGCTATATAATAATAATAATCCACTAAAACCAGATACTGCTGCAAACATTATAGCATGTCCAGGCCTAATGGAAAAATTCTATCATACATTTATAATGCTAATTTTAAATCTTTGTTACAAGTAAAGTTATATTGTACATACGTTAAGTAACCTCTAACTAATACTCTATTTTTTGTTCTTGACATTTGAGCATCGAAGGGAACTTCAAAAAATTGATTAATAGCATTTGCTGTTGCAGAAATTAATCCAGTACCAATGGAACATGCAATAAATGTAAAAATATCAAAAGGTCCAGGAGCTAATGCATATCCAGCCATTGTTGTAACAACTACCAAAGCTAAAAATAATCATTCAATTCTTAACTTTATACATCTAAATACATGTTCAAATTAAAGTTTATTAATATAAAATACCTATTTGTCTTACATGTTAATCGTATTTTAGATAACATAAAGCAATGTTTTTGAAGTTTACTAGGATCTAATTTTATATCTTGCCATTTCAGTTCATTGTTTACACATAGATTTTTCTTTTTCTTATTGCTTACTATATCTACATGGTGAGTGGCTTTTTGAGGATCATGGATTATAACAAAATTTGATAAAATTCTCCGATTTTGCGAATTGTTTGTATCTAGTACATGTTGCTGCTTTTGCATGCAGGATAATTTTTTTACATTTGATGTACTCTTCGTGGAATACTGGAGTAAGTTATTACAAAAGTTAATACAAAATTTAAAGCTTACAGCAAATGTTTAGCTAAAATATCATTATTTATTATACATACTTTAGTGATGGATAATTTCAGTGACGATAGACATGTGTTACGGGAAATTTTAATTGAGCACAAAATAAATAACATGACAAAAATATGTAGTATAATAATTAGTGTTTTTTTCTTCTTATTCTGGAAATAATGATAGAAATTAGTCAATTCACAATTATAATTTTGTACAACTTATAATAAAATCAAGAAACAATTCAAATACTTCATGACTTTTCTAAAATTAAATATTCAACTTACATCATAATATATTTTTGTTCTTACAATTTTTATCCCGCATTACATAATAAAAGTTTGAATAAAAATAAGTAGAACTAAAACTTTAAGTGATTTCACTATACTATCGAAGTCTTCACTTGCCTAAATAGTTCAGTCAAAATTATATTAAGGTGCGTATCCATATGCATTACTTCACCGTTGCGTGTCAATGTGAAGGATAAGCATTGAACCATTGCAAATTATAATTTGATTTAGGTTGTGAGTTAGTATTAAGTATAATATATGTTAGTATAGAGACTTGTATTTTTCATATACAATTAGAATATATCATCTGTTTTGATACGGATACGCAATAATAATTTGGAAGAAACTTATGAACCGTGTGTTGCATCATATTATATTCTTGTTTAATACGCAACGATGAAATGATATCAGTGAATACGCACCTTTAGAATCAAAGATGCAATCGACCAAAACAGTGAAATTTTAAACGCATCAACAAATAATCAAATATTCCAGAAATGTAATTATGAAATAGCATTTCGTATTTAAAATGTAAGCATTTTTACAAGCATATTTTATTTCTTATACAAACAGCTATTTATAATTGTATAAATTATGTATTAATTAATATTATATAATTGGAGTTCAATAGTAAATATGTATGCGTATATGGGAAGCGTATATGTACTATAAGGATTTATTTCTAATTAGCAAATAAATTGTGGTGGCTAAATTTTCAAAATGGTTGGTAACAATTTTGTCACTAAAATGTTATTAAATTTGATACAAAATCGGTTATCAGTTATGTTAATATATTAGTAATGTAGTAAAATTCAGCAAGACTTGTATTGTAGTGACTACGATATAACGAGGTCTGTAAATTAAATTATTAAGATATAGCAAAATTATAGATAAAATCCCTAAGGATCAGCACAAATTGATGTTGCAGCATTCAGAACTGTAACTTTGAATTCGACACCAGAAAATTGCTTGGAAGTTTAATTATGTTACTGTTAATCTCTTGTCCCGGTGATTGAATAGGTTTTCTTTAATGTCTGACCAACTTTACGACCTCGTTATATCGTGGTCCGTACTATATCAACACTTAAAGTGATAAATTAAGGCTTAGTCTGCTTTGATGTAAATTTGATGTCAATGTGCTGAATAGATGTTTGATACCAGAAATAGTGCATAAAAATAATACAATGCAATATCAAATGGATATGGTTCTGTTGTCAAATTCTGTTGGTGCTAAATTGATGATATGTAGTAATTAAATTGTTTAGTGGAACAGTAAAGTAATATATATTGTTTTCCTAATTTTTAAACTTCATAGACATTTGAAATATAATGGAAAAAAAAGATATTTACTAAAACAGTTAATAACTGTTAAAAAATTAAATAACGCAGATTTGGAATTCGATTCAAGGTATCTATTCTGTATCACGAGAAACATCTTTAACTATTTTAGTATCGTTATACACACAAATTGATTTTTATGTTGAAGAAATATTTAACCTTCGAATGTATAAATTACACATGATGAATAACTTAACGCACATAGCCTCTTCAATATGACGTAGTTACCTGAGTACGTACTTATGTGCATAGCCCAAAATTCTGTTAGATCGATCTGTATTATTACAGTACTTAAATTTTTGGGCGTACGGTGTCACTTCACTGACCATAAGTTACAGTAGCATTCGTGGGAAAGTAAGATAATAGGTTAAGATGAAGTGAATGTGAACACAGTATATACATGCGTGTGCTACGGAGAGAAATATAAAACTTGAGATAGAAAAAGATGTAGAGAAAAGATACTGGAACACATTGATATATTTAAGGAAAACAATAAGAATAAAAAAAGAAGAAACGTGTGTACTGCAGATAGATAATTTTGATATAATTGATCAACATTGAGTATTTATTGGTACGATAGTAGGACGTTCTTGGTGATTTTTTACGGGACAGAAGAAAAGACAGAATACGGTTAAAAAAATAAGGTTATACAAGTGTATGTTTCATCAAATTTTATATAAATTCAACATGTTAAGAGTACAAAAATTATAATTGAGACGGAAAAAGTAACACATAATAGAGTGGGAAGACAAAATCAAGCGCGACGAAATTATTGAGGACTAGATTTTGATCGGTATGCCGTGGAATCATCAAAATGTGATGTTTTTGCGGATCGGTTCTGCTCTATTTTACGGCTTATCCTCATTTATGATTACGGTTGTAAATAAGACAGTGTTGACATCGTTTGAATTTCCATCGTTTCAAGTACTTGGCATGGGACAAATGTTAGCTACCATTGTATTAATTTTCGTAGCAAAGACGTTACGCTACATTGAATTTCCTAACCTAGGAACGACAACGTGTGTCAAGATGTGGCCATTACCAATCATTTACATTGGTAACATGATTTTTGGATTAGGTGGTACCAAACAGCTCAGCCTTCCGATGTTCACTGCCCTTAGGCGATTTACTATCCTTATGACCATGATTGCCGAGTACTATATTCTCGGAGCAAAGGCGCGTGTCTCTGTTCAGTTGAGCGTATACACGATGATTCTTGGGGCAGTGGTGGCGGCATTAAATGACCTTGCTTTTAATTTGGAGGGCTATCTCTTTATCCTGTTGAATGATTTCTTCACGGCCGCCAACGGTGTCTACATGAAGAAGAAATTGGACTCGAAGGAATTGGGGAAATACGGAGTGATGTACTATAATTCGTTATTTATGATTGTCCCAGCGATTAGTATCGCCTACTGGATGGAAGACGTGCATCCTATCTTACAATTTCCACATTGGGGCAATGTTCTCTTCCTTGTGCTGTTTAGTTTCTCGTGCATTATGGGCTTTGTACTGACTTACAGCATGATGCTTTGTACACTTTATAACTCTGCGTTGACTACTACAATAATCGGATGTCTGAAAAATATCTGCGTTACGTATCTCGGAATGGTAATCGGTGGTGATTACGTTTTTACGTGGTTAAATTTTATAGGACTAAATTTAAGTGTTGTCGGTAGTTTGGTTTATACTTGGGTAACTTTTCGAAGGGAGGAATCAATTGAAGCCAAGTATACTGCGCTTTCCGACGAACAAACGAATAAAGTGCAAGCTGTATCAATGTATATACAGTCAAGTCGGGTATCGGCCTGATCTTGCCCTTTTACGATACTCTTTCTTTTCTTCTCTTCCCTCCTCCCCCCTCCCCACTTTCTCTTTATGTTTATTTTTTTGCTAGCTATTTCCTCACGTGTGTTTGCACGTGAAATAGTTACGCTCTTGGGAACCGGAAGAGGAAGTGGAATGGGAATTGGAAAAGAATATATGACAAAGTGTAATAGTCATAAATAAATATATCATATCGTACCAAAGCGAAAACTTCGTTACCGGATAGAAGATGAATACGGTATAGCGTATCAACGACGTGAAATACAACTTGTATAGTTGTTTTATGCAATAAAACGAGGTTGTAAAATCAGTCAAGTATAAAAGTACAAATATTCCGATTTTTGGAATAGTGACTTATGATATTCGAGAAAAACAAAGAGTTTGAATGCCAATCAGTGATGTACGATAGCAATTTGAAACGGGTTCTTACAATGCAGTGTGTTACTAATAATAATCTATAAAAAATTAAAATTTGTTTAAATATTCAAAATATTAAACAGGATTTAACGGTGGTAAATTAGTAGTAAGTAGTAGTTAATGAAATAAGTTAAAATTTAAAGTTAGTTGACAATTTTCTCAGTTTACTGTTTGGTGTTGAATATCTGCAGTTGCAAACTACATACGATTCCTTGACTCTTGATGATGTTAACAGTTTCATGTTAACATCAAGCGATACTAAATTTATTGCTCGAATTTATTGCTAGATACAATAATTTACGATTTCTTTATATTGCCTGAATCGACTATATGTGTATATATGTGTATATATAATGTGTATATATATATATATATATATATATATATATACATATATACAATATATATATATTTTGTTTTTTCTTTTTTTTTTTTTTT